TGTATTTATTTAGTTTGGAAACAGGTTCTCACTATGCAGCTCAGGCTTGCTCTGAACTCACTATATAGGGCAGGGGATTTAGCTCAGTGCTGCCTTGCGAGCGCCAGGTCCTGAGTTCAGTCCCAGGTACTGGGGAGGAAAAAAAAACTAACAGATGAACTAATTATGTGGCCCAGGCTGGCCTTGAATTCAAAGCAGGCCTGTCTCAGCCTCCTGAGTGCTGGGATTACCGGTGTGCACCACCACGCCTGGCTGTTAATTACAATTTTGAATTGATTTGCTCCAAGAACTATCAATGAGTTATGTGATTCATTGAGATACTCTGGATTACTTTTCCACTTAGGTGATCTGGTCAGAGTAGATAAAGTTTAATAGTTTTATAAGTAATGACATAAAAACTGTTAAACCTAAGTGAGTTCTGCATCTATAAAAATTGTTTTCTTGCATTGAAACAATTCATTCTGCAGGAACAAATTAGTTCATTGAATTTCTTAATGTTACCAAATATATTGAAAATGCATTTTATCTACAAAAGTGTAAATGTATAGCCGGCTCTAGATGAAACATGTTCTAAAGATATGCTTAGGAACAGACACTTTCTAGAATTTTTCTAACATCTTAGTTTTTAGCTAATTACCTAGTATGCAAAGTCCAAATTTGCTTGTGTTTTAAGAATCCTTTCGCTGGGCGAAAGGTGGCACACACCTGTAATTCCAGCACTCAGGAGGCTGAGGCAGGAGGATCGCTGTGAGTTCGAGACCAGCCTGGACTATATAGTGAGTTCCTTGTCAGTCTCGACTACATAGTGAGACCCTGCCTCAAAAAAAGAAATCCTTTTAAATCACTTAGTTTTAACAGTTTCTATTTCTGCGCACCTAAAAGTCAGTTTTCTCCTGTAATACTCTTACAAGTATTGAAGGGCATTGTGTATGTCTTTACTTTGGAAAATGTACATAAGTATAGCAAACTTGTCTTGCTTTCAAACATTGCGTTTAGCTCTTGTTCCTAATAGTCACACTATCCATAAATCCTCAGAGCAATTCAGTACTTGGTGGAAGTGAAGCTGTACTTCCAGTGTTTCGTCTGACTTTTTCTAGTCAGTTTCGGCTGACAGTCTCACGTACTCTCATAGCACTTAAAAGACAATATAAACTGGGTATTGTGGTGCATGCCTGTAATCCCAGCACCCAGGACACTGAGGCAGGAAGATTGCCGTGAGTTTTGAGGCCAGCCTGAATTACAGAACAAGAACAACAAAAAGCCGTGTAAAAATGCACTGCTTTTTTTTTTTTTTTTTTTTTGAGGATGACCAAGTGGCTGTGCTTTACCTTGTAACATACTTTTTCATTAATAAAATGAATGCCAAATGTGAAGAAGATACATAAGGCAAACTTCTAAACAGGAAAATTCAATGGCTGTTTTGTCTGTTTAAGATTAACACATCTTAATGACTAAATTTTGTTGCTTTGGTCACCCCCCACCACCACTACCAGTACTAGGACTCATACTCAGGACCTTGCACTTGCCAGGCAGTTGCAGTGCCACTGAGCTAAATCCCTGGCCCAGCTATTACAATTAAATTAGAATAAAATTACTGAAGTTTTGGAAATCTGTATTAAACTTTATTTAAATCTTAATTTGATTTTAGAGTTAGATGGGGCCGTAAATCGGCTTTAATGTCTTAATTGTGGCGTCATTGTTTTGGGGAGCATTGTGTACAATTTTTAAAACAAGAATTTTAGCCATTTTTAATTCTATCTATGACATACTTTAATTTTTTAAAGTTTGCTATCTACCATATATCATTCAATAAAAAGATTTCTTCCTGAAACACAATGGAGAAAAAATGGCAAGTTTTATTTATATAATTTTTTGTTGGTCTCAGTGCCAAAGTTAGTAGTGAGAGTAGCAACAGCCTGGAAAAAAATGAAAGCAAGAAAGATCAGATTTGATATTTTAGTGGTTCACTGGTTTAATACATCTTGGATTGCCATTTGTCTCAGCTTTTCTTGTTAATCTCAGAAATTATACGTAACACACAAGTGTGTATTCCACACATTAAAAATATGAATCTGAGAATGCGCACATGGAGGTTGATTCTTATTTTTTAGGTATTGGCAACTTGTAATGTTTGTTTAGAGAACCAGAAAGGTAAATGGGTTTCCCAATATCTGCGCTAAGAGGCTAATGCAAATGGACCGTTATGTAACCAGGTAGGCCAGGCACGGGTCTAAGGCTTGGTGGCTTCTCTTCTAGAGCGAGGCCAGACAGGAAGGTAGGAAAAGAGCATTACTGGGTTTACACTTTTAAGATTTATTCTTCTGGCAAAGAATGTATATTAAAAATAGGAATTGAAGAGCAGTTTATCTTTGCTATGAGGTTCCTATTAGAATGGTGACGTGTTTAGGAGTTTTTCCCTCCTGTGAGTAAAAATGACTTACTGTGTGGCACTTTCTGTCACGATGGACTTGTGTGACTAGAGTTTTATATATTTCACATTCTTTTTAACTAGGTGTTTTAGAAATGAAGTAGAAAAATAGAAGAGTAAAGTATATCAATGGGAGAATGAGTCTAGTTTGGAAATATTTTCTCTAGTAACACATGAAGTTATCTATTTATAGGTTAGGCAAATGGCTGCTGTTCTTCTGAGACGCCTTTTATCCTCTGCGTTTGATGAAGTTTACCCAACTCTTCCATCGGATGTTCAGACTGCCATCAAGAGTGAGCTAGTAATGATTATTCAGATGGAAACACAGTCCAGCATGAGGAAAAAAATTTGTGATATTGCTGCAGAACTGGCCAGGAATCTAATATGTGTGTATGCAAGTAGATTTCATTATGTTCTGGAGTGAAGGAGGAAAAGGGCCTTTTTCTTTTATGAATGGAGTCTTTTAGAGGAAGATTTGTGGGTACCACAGTGTTGTTCATTCTGTTGAAAATCAGTGACATTATGGGCCAGGGATTTAGTTCAGTGGGGTCCGCCCCTGCCTTGTAAGCTCAAGGACCCAAGTTCAATCCCCAGTAGCAAAAAAAGAAAAAAAGAATGACATTATGGATTCTGCATTTAAAGCCAGAGGTTACAGATGTTAATGAAATTTAGTCACAATATTTACCTGTTGGTATTCAAAACTTCTATATGGAAAAATAATTTTTTAGGTCACTTGAGAGATGTTACCTTCGTCGAAATCTGTGCAGTTTTAGAAGTACAGGCTACCAAATAACATAACTTACTTTGTACATTAAACATGTCATTTGAAGTAGAAATCAGTGGGCTCCAGGTGCTTTTGCTGTTATGTATGCACATTGATAAATTGTATACATTTGCTATTGTACTGCTGTACTTTATAGATTATAAAATGCCTTGAAATATTTTTAAAGAATGAGATAAAAGGAAAGGAAAACATTTTCTGAAATGCATTTTTCCAACTGTAAAATTCTTTTAGTCAACCAAAATATTAATGTAATTGCAACCAAATTGATTTTTTTGTTTTGTGCATACTAAGTACACACTTCACCACAGGTGCACCCTGAGCCCCTATTCTTTTTTTAACGGGTTCATAGATGTCACTAAGCATTGTTCATTTAGATTGTATTTGTGATAATTGAAAGGGTACTTCATGAAGATAGGGACTAAATGGGAGAACACTGTTGATGGTACTTAGTACATCGTAACACTTTTTTGTTTTTGTTTGGTTTTTTGAGACAGGGTCTCACTATGTAGTTGAGACTGACCTGGAACTCACTGCTTAGCCCAGGCTGGTCTCGAACTCACAGCGATCCTCCTGCCTCAGCCTCCCAAGTGCTGGGATTACAGACATGTGCCACCATTCTTGGCAAGACATTTTTTTTTTTTTTGGTACCAGGGATCAAACTCTGGACCTTGTACTTGGGAGGCAGGCGGCAGAACCACTGAGCTAAATCTCCGGCTTGGCAAGACACTTTTAATCTCAACCAATAATGCTAAAGTTCTTGTTCTATTCAGCTAGCAAATTGTTGTCTTGTCTTTTTTTTGGATACTAAATTCTTAGAAGCTAATAGGTAAAATGCCAACCTTTTATATTTTAAATAAATGAATTCAAAGTCTGCTGGAACTGTTAATTTGGAATAGTTTTAGAGTACAAAATTGTATTTTCAAGTTCTAAGTATGCAGGTGCAAATTTTTATGGGTGACAATATTTCTGATTCAAGATCACTTAATAATAGAAATAGTTTTAGCCGGGCGTGGTGGCATGAGTTCCAGGTTAGTCTCCACCACATAGTAAGACCCTGTCTCAAAAAAAAAAAAAAATTTTTTTTTTTCAAATAATCCAAACTACCGGATTACATTTTGTTTCTAAAGTGGCTGTCGTATTCCCCCTGAAAGTACTATCTTTACACTGAAGGAGCCCCCTCCCCCCACCTGGCAATAAATATTTTAATTTTGTTTCATTTTTAAGATAAATAATTTTCAAATGTGTTTCCTTTTTTTGTTTGTTTGCTTAAATACAAAGTGAAACCAGGGCGTGGGATTTAGTTCAGTGGTGCCGCCTGCTTTGCAAGCACAAGGTCCAGAGTTCAATCCCCAGTACCAAAAAAAAAATCGAAACCAAAAAGGGTCACAGTAAAGACATTTTCTCACATCACCACACTGCTATGAGAACCAGGCTGGGTGCTGAAGGGGCTGTAGCTCAGTGATAGAGTGCTTGCCTAGCATGTGAGAGTCCCTGGTTCAGTCCCAGCCCTGCAAAAAAGGGAAGAGTTTTCTCCTCCTGTCTTAAACACTACACTTGTCAGTTTTCTCCTTTCATTCCCTTTTTTTAATCCTTCAAAGAAACAGAAGTTTCATTAATTTATTCAGTTTGGCCTCAAACTCAAGGTAAAGTCTTAAAATCTTTGTGGTAATGTAACAAGTGAGTCTGGAAAGTAACACAGTAACTTTTGAGGTTACTCATTTTTTTTGTTTGTTTCTTTTGTTTTGTTTTGTTTTTTTGAAACAAGATCTCACTATGTGGTTGAGACTGACCTGGAACTCCTGCCTTTAGCCTCCCAAGTGCTAGGATTACAGGCGTGTGCTACCACGCCCTACTCTGGTTACTCATTGTTATTACAAAATATTAAAAATCTGTATTTAAAGCACCTTCCTGGCAAAGTTTGAGGCCCTGAGTTGGATTCCTGGTACCAAAAAAAATGAAGTCTTGTTAAAATGTAGGGCTGGGGATTTAATTCTGTGGCTGTACCGCCTGCCTTGCAAGCACAAGGTCCTGAGTTTGATCCCCGCTACCAGGAAAAAAAAAAGTAAACATTGGGTGGACATGGTAGCATATACCTGTAATCCCAGTGCTCAAGGAGGCTGAAATAGAGTCACACATTCAAGCCTAGCCTGTTTCAGAATCAAATAAAATACACAGCTGGAGATACAGAGCTCAGTGTGAAGACCCTGAGTTCAATCCTCAGTAATTGAAGAAAGAAGTCAGGGAGGACAGGGATTTAGCTCAGTGGTGCCGATGCTTGGATGCCTGCCTCACAAGCACAAGGTCCGGCGTTTGATCCCAGTATCAAAAAAAAAAAAAATGTAGGGATATAGGAAGAAAACAATGTATCGATAACATCCTATAGCATTTAGAAACTATGAAATATAAGCCCCTGCTGTGGGCCCTGAGATTCTCACTCTTGTGTCTTCTCCAGTTTGAAAGTAATAACTTTGTTTTCAAAACCTTGCTACCAAGGGAGGCCAGGGAAATGGGGAAAAAATAAGAACCAAGATAGGTCATTTAAAAGTACAAGATTCCAATGGTGAGTGTAACTGTATTGTATACCTAAAATGTACCAATAAAGGAGGAAAAAACAAAAACCTTGCTACCCATTCTTATTTCTGCCTGCTTTTACCCAACCCCCTTTATGGCAGTACTAGGGCTGGAATCCAGGGCCTTCACACTGAGGTGCATCCCCAGCCCTTACTATTTTTAAGATAAGGTCTTGCTAAGATGCCCAGGTGGGACTCAGACTTACGATCCTCTACCCTCAGCCTCCCTCACTGCTGAGATTAACAGGCACATATCACTGTGCCCAGCTTTTTAGACTTTTAATAACAATCGTAGATACAAAGGATTTAACCAGTCAAATATTTGTGCAATTTAAATTACTACTTTCTTGTGAATTTCTCCTTAGAAATAACTGCTGCTAATAGGTTTATGTAATCCAAAGGCTCAGATTGTCTTTTTAGGAAGCCATTTTATGGTGACAGGACTTAATTTTACTGGAATTTTATAAAACATAGAGCAAGTGATGTTTCTACAACTCCATATTTTAAATGAGGCTTATGAAATAAAAGGGCTCACCCTTGATACTCTCGTCATACTTACATACTTTATGCTTGGATTTTTGTACTTTTAGATGAGGATGGCAACAACCAGTGGCCTGAAGGTTTGAAGTTTCTTTTTGATTCAGTCAGCTCTCAAAACATGGGATTGCAGGAAGCTGCCCTTCACATATTCTGGTATATATGTCAAACATAATTTTTTAATTCAACATTGTGAATGTCTGAAATGTAATTGATCAGTTTAGCTTAATCTGGCTTTGGGGAGTTAAAAAAAATAATTGCCTTTGATAAGCTTTGTATTATGTTGAAAGAAAATATTTTATTTTATACACTGATCTTTTTTGTGTTATGTCTTTTATGATTTTGAGAATTTTCTTGGTTTCCTCTCCTTTACAGTCTAATAGTACCAAACATGGCTTTTAGAACACTGATTTTTTTGTTTTTGTTGGTGTTGTTTTTTGTTTGTTTGTTTCTTTGTTTGTTTGCTTTTTGAGACAGGGTCTCACTATAGAGTTGAGACTGGCCTGGGACTCACTGTGTAGCTCAGGCTGGTCTCAAACTCACAGCAATCCTCTTGCCTCCGAGTGCTGGGATTACAGGCGTGCACCACCCCGACCAGCTAGAACACTACTGTTTTAATAATGGTCTTGAATAAAAAGAGCAGCCTTCTACTGAGTCCCCATTGTATTTTGAGTCTTCTGGGTCCTTGCTTCATAATATTTTAGCAAACTTCTCTATGCTTATATTCAAATGGCTTAAGTTTAGGATTAGTTGGTTCTTTTTTGCTCTTCTATATTAACCAGTTTTCTACTGTGTTTAAAATATGATTAATATATTGGATTTAAAACTTTTCAAGTTGTAGGCTCTACACATGGTTTTCTACTTCAGTTGTCAAATGTATCTGGTTTATTTCAGTAACCCAGAAATAGACACATTCCCTTTTAATTATTCACTGGAAGCAAAGTAGAGTAGAATTTGGATTCCTAGGGTCACCAAGGCCAGAAGCAGCAGGTAGAAATCGTAGTTACTGCCGTTATCTCTGAAACTTCTCAGTCGGCCCTTGTGCCCTCCTTCCGTCAGGTCCACTTCCGGTGGAGACCAGTTGGGAGAAACACAAGTGGAGCTGAGAATGAATGGCCTGCAGAGTAGCCTCTGTGCCCGGCCTAAACTTGTGCTGTTTGTTTCCATTCTCCCAGCCCAGACAGAGCTGCCTAGAGAACAGATAGGTGATGCCTGAACTAAAGATCAATGTATATTTTAAGTCAGGGAAACTGGTCATTACAGTTTGCAACTCATGCTTTGCAAAGATATAATGAAGCTTAAAGAGTGCTCTTGAATCATCTTTTAGGAACTTTCCTGGAATTTTTGGGAACCAACAGCAGCACTATTTAGATGTCATCAAACGGATGTTAGTTCAGTGTATGCAAGATCAGGAACATCCATCAGTAAATAATTTCAATTTCACTAATATAAGCATCTTAAGTCAAACTTGTGAAAGAAATTAATGTAGTAGGAGATCAGTTTTATTTTTACATATTAAAATATAAATGCTAGTTTTGTTGATAAGGAAAATTTCATCTTGAGAGAACAATTGACCTTGAGTCAAAAATTTTTCTTGTTTGACTTCTTTTACTCTTTATTTTAGATCAGGACATTATCTGCTAGAGCCACAGCTGCATTTATACTTGCAAATGAGCATAACATTGCTCTGTTCAAACATTTTGCAGACTTGTTACCTGGATTCTTACAGGTAAGAAAATAGTATAGAATAAATTGTAATTATATGCATATTGCTTTTCATTGGCTTCATTTTCATAAGAGTTCTGTAGTACAGCTATTTATATAGTACAGATATTTTTACCAATTATATGCTGGCACTAGTATTATAGCAGTAGATATGCAGATGAGTCCCCATTGAGCCTACGTTTATTGCACTTGGCTCTTTTTACTCCTTAAAGTATCTAGTTACAGAATTTTTCTATATTGCAAATAGTATAAGCACTTTATATTCTTAGTATTAAGTATATAACCACATAGTTATTTAAATTAACCAGATAACCTGCGATTCAACACCCATTTTATATAAGGAAAATCTGTGGTGGAGAGGATTAAAAATTTACCCAGGATCACAGTGTTAGTAAATGGAAGAATCACAATTCAGACGAATCAGACCATGGAGTCCTTGGGTTAACCACAGGGCTTATAATTGTTTGCATTGTAAAGTAAGTGTTTGTGATTAACTTATATTAATTCCCACAGGCAAATTAATGCTTTAAGGATACCTTTTGACTTATTCACAAAGCAGAATAAGATAGGATAACTTAGGCTAAAGATTCTCACCTTGTCAGACTTCAGACTCCTCCTTTTTTGACAAATATTTTGTAATTTCCCAAGTACTATTCTAAAATGAAGCACATAGGTAATATAACTCACGTAAATGCATGATTCTTTTAAAATATCAATATATCCTGCCTTGCAAGCACAAGGTCCTGAATTTGATTCCCAGTAGTGAAAAAAAAAAAAAAATCAGTACATCACTACAGCTAACTACAAAGAAGAAACAGTAATTTTTATAAAATGATTTGCTTTTTCATACAGAAATGCTTGGGCATGACTACATTTGAAAGTCATAGTAGACTAGGTGATTTCTGAGTGATCCATGCAAATGGAATAGCTAAAACTGGACTGATACAGAGGGGTATCATCAGGAAATTAAACACCAGGATTATTGCTAATGTCAATGATAAAATTTCTTGAAATGAATAAGCTTTGGACAAAGCAATGTGCATGTCCATTCTTGATTTTGTTTGTTTTTGTTTTTTGAAACAAGGTCTCCATTAGTTCAGGCTAGCATCAAACTTCTTGCAGCAATCCTCCTGGCTCAGGCTCCCTGAGTGTTGGGATTATAGATGACCATTATTAATTTATATAGTACTTAACTTTTGTTGGGAAGCACTGTATAGTCCTCTCTTAGTGTCCCTGGGGATCAATTCCGGGACCTTATGCAGATACCGGAAGTCATGTTTAGAGTAGCATGTGATTTACATATAATTGATGCAAAATCCTCATGTATACTTTAAATCTTCTATAGCTGACTTATAATACTTAATAGGATATTAATGATATGTAAATAGCTGTTGTATTGTTCAGGGAATGATAAGAAGGAAAAAAGATCTTACATGTTCAGTATATGTGCGTTTTTTTTTTCCAGATGTTTTTGATCCTTGCTTGGTTCAGACTGGGTACAGGGGACCAACTGTACATTAAAACCAGGAAAAAAAATTTTGTGATTCAAGTTGTAGGTTTCTGTCATTTTTATAAATTTCTGGCATTTGATGAGATGACCGTGTGAATCCTTACAAGCTTTCATGCCACAAATGCAGGACATCCAGTATCCCTGGCTTTTGCTCACCTTAGTTGTGTGATAGCTAGGAAGTACTCCTGCGCTCCTGGAAGAACAGCAATCCCCATTGAGGGCTACCGAGTTTTAGGGGCAAGAGCGGAGCTGAAATGGAAGGATTCTGTGTGATAAAAAGTTGTTAACGTGATTTAGTGGAACTTTTCTCCTCGTGTTGTCATAATGAAAAGATACAATTCAGTGACAAAACTTTCAAGTGTATACACTGGCATTTAGTGGTTTATCTAAAATCTTTCCTGCTTAAAACTAATCCCACAGATTTTTATTCCTTGGGATTTTAGGATAAGTAAAATGTTG